GTGAGCATCCTGAAGCTCCCACATTATTTATGCTCGCAGCCTGCTCTGATGACATATGTAAGTTGACAGTGAACACCCTATCAACTTGCTGGAGTGTATCTTGATTGTTAAAACACACTCTTAAAGGTGTACAATCATTTATCAAATTAAAATAGCCAAGCTTTGCTGGTTCCTTCTCTGTCTTCCTGGAAGAGCACCGAGCAGCCTCCAGTATTAGCACTGGGCTCTGCTCCTCAGAGACCCTGCCCCTGATGCCTGGGACCCTGGCCTCAGCACACCCTCCCCCTGCCCCAGGCCAGGGCAAGCCCACTAATCGCCAACAAGTGACAAACGCCAGAAGCCCCACCAATTAAATTTAAACTCACGCAAAGCTCAGTGGCTAGTAAATTATTATTTTTATTAGCTTGAACCAAGTTCCCGTAAGAGAGAAAGTCAACTTGCTCCCATGAATGGCTCTTGTATAATTTATTTAACTCTGTGCTCTTTGCCAAAGCCTGGAATATTTTTAGCTCGTTCTGTTGTTGGATTTGGCTTTTTTATGTGTGTTTCTGAGGGGTATTTTTAGCTTCATCCATGTTATTCTAACAACCTCCTATGCGTTTTTGTCCTGTCTGTGCGGGCTGTTGAACCCTGTCTCACAGGGAGCTGAGGGAGATTTCTAAGAATAACTGGGGAGTGTTTGGGGGTGCGGTGTTTTCCGGGGGACATGTGCTATTTGCACTGTGCCACTCCTGCCTCGGCCACCAATTTGCCTTATTGCTCACGTGACCTGGATATTCCAATGGAGAACTCGGCGTTTCCCTATAGGAATGATCAGACTTGGAGGCAGCACAGGCCCCACAGAGAAAAAACCCACATTCCAAAAACAGCTTTGGTGGGGCGGGCGCGGCTGCCACAGCCATCCCAGTCTATGCAGCCGCCAGATTCCCGGATCCCCGCGGCTCCGTTGGGCACAGCGGCAGCTTTGATGTCTAGTTCTGTCACTTATGGAGCAGGATGGGTAGAAGCTCGGAAAGTAACTCTTTTCACACCTACTTAATGTTGGTAACTGCTGCAGAGACACTCTATCGTGCAGTGGAGTTAATGAGGTATTTACGAAAATGTATTTTTCTTACCAAAAAAAAAAAAAAAAAAAAACGTGATGGGAGGGACACCTTCGATGGGGTCTTTTTTTCACAAGAAATTTTTTTTTTTAATCTATGGGGCTAGGTGGAGTTTGTGTGGTTGATTACTGTATTATTTTACTAGAGACTGGTCATCCAAAGTGCCTTTAACAGGAACTAGGTTAGCAGTCTTATTCTAGAAAGGGCCTGCCTGAACCCACCCCCCCCCGCCCAAAGCTGCAGCCAAGACACATGGATGCACAGGCCAAGTTAAATCACATCCCAAAGCCAAAAGGGGTGGAGAAGAGTCCAAAGAGAGGATTCACACCAAGAAGTGAACCAGCCCCTTGGTGGAGCCCCAGCCTGAGGGGGCTCCAGGAGGACAGGACAGGAGCTGACCCAGCCGGAAGGGGGGAGGGGCAGGCGAGCACACAGCTCCCAAGCTTCTCCCCCGGGGCCAGCTGCCTCCTGATTAAACCCGTTCCCCTGGAGAGGAGAGATCCCCAAGAAACTCCAGGCAGTAAGACGGAGGAGAAAACCTAGGTTAGTTCATGTTGATTTTCCTTTTTTTGTGTGTTCCCCCATCCCTAGATTTCACAGCTTTGCCTCCGGACCATCTGTATTAAAGACAAAATCTAACACTGCACTAAAAATAATGGTTCCAAACATTTTAATTGCACCTCTCAGTGACAAGGTTAAGGGAACAGCACTTTACCATAAACCCTACAGCTCGAATATAGAGCTACTGGCACTTTCATTTTTGGAAAACAATGGAAGAAACCTGGGAACCCAGCACCCCCTTTAGGGTCCCACAAGCAGACACTAGGAAAGCACCAGGTGGGAATGAAATAGGGCGGCCGTGGCGGGACCCTCAGCCTCATCTGAGCAGTTGTGCCTGACCAGGCAGGTGGGGAGAGCATGCCATACAAGGAAGCTGTTTCTGGGGAGCCGGGGGCTGCAGCCTGGATGTCTGCATCCTACGCAGACACAGGGAAGAATCTTCCCTAGCAATTTGGCTTTCAGCTCAGCAGTTGGGGCAGGGAGGGGCAGGCTGGACTACTGCAGCCTTGGCCTTTGGGCCAAGGCCATCCACAGAGAGAGGGAGAGAGTACAGGAAGGTGGCCGTTTAGAAATTTGCACACAAAATCCACACACAAGACCCAAAGACAAATTCCTTAACTTCACCCCACCTTTCTCTTTCTAAATGAGGACCCACAAAGACACACACTAAAGTACAGGGATCTCAAGATAACTCCTGTTTTAAAAATACATGTAGCAAGATTCTAAAAAACGAATACAAAATCCTGGCTATCCTGGCTTTTAGCAATTGCAAAAGGCTTTCAGCCCCACACAGCCCAGCCAGGCTTCGAATCACAACCAAGTGCAGGATCTCCAAACACAATAGGTTCCTCTGGTCCCCAAGGGGATGGAAACTGGGCCTTCAGAAGCAGAAGACGCACGGCCCTCCGGCACTAAAGAGGGAGCCCTCTAGGGCCCCCAGTGTATAAGGAAGCAGGAAGGGTGTGGGGTCACAGACTAGGACCTGGTGCAGTTTCTCACAGCTCTCCGTGGCCTGCAGTCCAAGAACCACGTGGTCCAAGTTAGCATGAGCAAGACAAAGGTCCAGGCCACTTCCCCACATCCCCACCTGGCTGGGTGTTACCTAGGTCTAGAAATAAGGGAGAAAAGAAGGAAATGGCTGCTGAGCAAGAGCTGGCTGGGCTGCGGACAGTGAGGTCAGGAGGCAGCAGTGGCCTGAACTGATGGGGAGCTGGGCTTGGCCTGGCTGCCCCAGGGGGGCACAGCCCCAGCCAGCCTGGGCACCACTGTGACCTACCAGCCTGGAGGGCACTGCACACGGGGGAAGAGGCCAGAGGCTTCCTCTCTGCGGTTCAACCCTGCAGACTCAGCCTGCCCAGCCAGGAGCTGAGACGGGAAGAGAAGCCGGACACTTGTCCCTGCGGCAGCCACCACCACGTCAAAGCCCTCCCTCCGCTCCCCAGTGGCCCTGAGAGGAGTGGGCAGCATCTCAGGGCAGCGGAGGGAATAGACAATAAGCACAACGATATGGGGGAAAGGTATTTTAAAACCACCAATTGCTCAGTCAAGTACTTTTCTTTCTCTCTCCAGTTATAAATCGAGAAGAGGGGAAAATGGAGAGAAAAGAAGAAGAAAAAAAAGCGGTCTACAGAGAGGAAAGCACTGCCTCCCCAAGCTCCAGCTGGAAAGGCAAGCAGGCAGTGTGGGGCTGACCCCGCAGGAGGCTGGCCGCTCTAGCCCAGGGCTGCTCACTCAGAATAACCTCGTGTTGTAAAAGCTGGAGGCCCTTTAGCAATTAAGCAATTTCAAGTTTTTTTTTTTTAAGGAAATGCATTTTTTCTTTTTGACTGCCTTCCCTTCCAACATTTTCCCCTTCTAGCCCCGTTCTTGCCATCCGTTTTAATCCACACACTAATTGTTATCCCATTAAAGCAGATATAATTTTATTAGTATTCATGGTTCATCAAGCTAATAATAATAACTGTTACTGCCAAACTGAAAAATAAAAGCAGCAAATAATATTTCTGATGTTTAGAATAAACTGTAAACAAAAGCAAGCCGACCTGCGAGAGTGACCCAGCAGGTCCACGCGCAGTTCCTCGGGCTCCCCCAGCTCCACCCACGCTGGTCAGTGACTACCCCGCAAGCCGCGGCTTCGCTCCAAGAGACTGGGTAAGGCGCAACCAAGAACAGACCCTCCGGGAGGGGAACACAAGAGGACTGCAACGCGGGCACGTGCCGGGGCTGGTCGGGACAACTCAAGGTCTCTCTTCTTGAAGCCAAAGCGCGCGGACTCGCCTGCACCGAAATCCCGAGCCAGGCGCCTCTCTGAGTTCCGCTGCGGGATGCGCGGTCTGCACTCAGGCCACGCTTAGTCCGGCGTTAGCAGGATACCAGAGGCACTTGTTAAAGCGCATGCATCCCCTGCAAACCCATTCTCGCCCTGACACTTCAAGGCTTTATATAGAAACAGGATTTTCTCGTCTTACACTAGCAGTTCCCATTAGCGCTCCCGGGGCGCACACCACTCTAATCCGCGGGCCGGGCGCGCTCTGGCCCCCTCCCCCAGCCACACGGTCGTTCTGTCCCCCGCAGAAAGCGCCACGGTGTCTCAGACGCAGAACGTTTTAACGAGGTGAATGCAGAATGCAGAAAAGAGGCTCCTGCAAGAATTTACTTCTGCAGGAAGGGGTGGGGGAGGGTGGCTAGGAGTAGAAGGCTCGGTTTGCCGCCTGCTCTCGGGCTGCCCTGAGAGACCCAGGGTAGTCGGGGAAGGCTGCTGGAAACGGCGCAAGCCCGTGGGCTGGCAGAATGCACGGCCCGCCCGGCGCTGCGCAGGGAAATGAAACCAAAGCTCCAAGAACTGCTCCGAGGAGCGAAGGGGCCGGCGTTCCTTGCACTCGCCACAGTTGCCAGCTGCGGCGGGGCCTCTGCATCGCAACCGTCCGGGCTGAGCACTGACCTGTGTGCGACGCCATCGGCAGCGGCGACGGGAAGTACTTTCCGGGCTGGAAATGCGCGGCCGGCTGCGCGGCGGGGCCGGC